ACTCCGTGGAGAGAAAACAGAAGACAGCGCGCAATAATGTTTACCTGGTTACACCGGGCTGTTAATATAGCTTTGAAAAGATAGCAAAAAATTCGTGGATTGTAACATCATAACGGACATTAACATCGCATCATAAGCTCCAGGAAAAGGAGGACCCAACAAATAGTCATAAATTATGGGAATTGGAAAACGATCGGCATACCAACGATTACTAACGTTTCTCTTGCATTAGTTTACTCCGTCTGATCTTTCACCACTTCGTCAAAATCTCCTGTCATTTATTCCTTTTAAGAAGAATTACTTTTTAAAATTCCACTGACTTTTCAAAGTAGTAGTCTTTAAAAGAAGTTTCAAGGGAATCGAAACACCGGTTTTCGATATAAATATGCTAGTTTGTAGAGGCATATTTCTCTCTTTTAATTACCTTAATAAAATGGTTCCGATTCATGGAGTGCATAATCATTACGGAATCTGAAGCAAGAGATCTTACACCTCATGAATGACCACCTCCGGACAGAATCAAGCCTGCTGTAGTTGCCCCACCCCCATCTTTCTGGATGGCAAGTTACGTTTCAGTACCGGAGGCCTGGCTTTTCCCGTGCATTTTAAATGTTTTAATTATTAAATTGAAAGAAATGAAAATAAAACATAATTCATTTATGCGGAAGATTGGGCCACTGATTTTCAATTTTCTTGCGGGATCGCTCCGCTTATGAACTTCATTATAGAAATGACCAACGTTTCGGGCCGTACTTGGCTCGTTGTGAAGGTACCTTGACAACGATCTAAATAGTGCTCGACACGTCCGAAATTTCTGTAATAAAATTCGTGCAGTTCATGATGACCACGAAATAACTTGAAGGTCAGAAGAGTATAGCGATGAGTCTACAACGAGAGACTCGAGTTTAAATGACCTGCTTTTAATATGCAAAATGCACCTAGATAAGCCCATGTCTCTCCAAAAAAGCTGGGTTAACATTAAGCTCAAGCTTAACCCAACCTACTAGTGATTCGCCAGCCTCAAATGCGAGATCATCACAGATCTTGCTCCAGAATCAACAGTGTTTGAATTCTTTCTGAATCCAGACTAAACTCCTTAAATAACTAAAACGAAAGAGATCGTTTAAATTAGTCAATATTTGTAATCAACAAGTTAGCACTTGTAATGTAGCTTCAATCAAGAATCAGTGCCTATTTTCTTTTGAAAGTTCTTTTGCAGAGCAGCTACTACTACCTCTCTTAAACTATGAAAACGTTTCCAATGACGTGCAATACTACAGTTCCCTATTGATTAAGACAAACGACAATATGTCAGTTTTAAATGCATGCTCAACAATCTGGATATTTTCTTCACTGGCCACATAGAATAAATATCTCTGCGGTTTATCGTTAATTTTTGTTCCTCCACACTTCAAATTGAAAAGAGACCGAGCCACAGCACAGGCTTGCTCCACAGATAATTGATAAGTCCACCTTGCCTTGCTGCTGGCCATCTAACAATCCCTCGATTTGAAGATAGAGGAACGACCTCTGACTATAGAAGTTAGCTGTGATAAATAAGCAGTCACGGAGGCAGGGGTGAGACCACCAGCGCTTGGCCGGGTTCGAGCTCGACAAGTTCGGTCCTCAGAGAAAAATCACAATTTCTAATGACGTTTTCTCGTCAAGGCGATAACTACCTGCCTCTCTGAAGAAAAAAGGCTGCCAGTATCACGCCGCCTAGCGCATAGACATCGGTTCGTCAAAGACGGGTGGCCTGCCTGCGGAGGGTACAACTTAATGTGCTGTGACGTCATGAATAAAGGACCTCAGTAACTTGAGCCTAATCAGATTTTTTGCATGGTCTTCGACCGAGAAGAGGCTGATGTGAATCCCAGGTGAATTTATTTCATCTGGAAAACGCACTCGAACTTTCCACGTCTCTTACCCTGCTGCTGTAGAAAGCTGGAAAGGGAAGAAACATTAAACGAAATAATAGTGGAGAGGTCAGGGATGGCTTGTGACACTCTTGGCCTCCGCTGGATCCTAAGGCGGTAGAAAATGAATGGCATCTGAAAAACGGCAGTTCAATCGGCTAAAGAGAAGAGGGGGCACGAAGAACATAAAAGGAATCAGATTTGTAGTCACAGCAAAAGCTTGTCTCCAAAATCGCCTCATGCAACGCAAAGGCACCAAGGTTTGGCGTACTCTGCCTCCAACTCAACAAGAAAGAGATTTTGAATATCTTCCAAACATATGCTCCCACAGGTAAAGCGGAGGAGAAACAAGTGGAAGAATTCCATCAAAAACTGGAATAGGTACTGATCGCAGAGTCCACACATACATTCGCTATGGGTTATTTCAACACCAGGATCAGGCGGGGAGGGCCGGTAAAAAATTCGTCGACCGGTGCGGCACCGGAGAGCAAAATGAGCGATGAGATCGACTGATGACCATGACAGAAACAAAACACCTGTACACTGACTAGAAATGGTTTAAAAAGAAGACCAGTAGGACGTAGACATTGATCGTGATTAAGCTGTGACGAAGAACGAGGCCTTCTTTGAGCTGTTTGGTAAACGCTGCGTCATCCAACAAAGCAGTAATGCCATCATTCAACAATAGCAGTGATTGCGAACCAATGCTGGCCAGGCCTCTTTTCGAAGAACGCCTAGAAAAATAAGGTCTAAAGGAAGGTTTCACAGTTTGAATCGCCGACAACGACCAGTGGTATTCGACAAGTCGACAATGCGATGCACCAAGCTCACATATTCGCCGAAGACTGGAGCCTAAACGGCAGTTGGGATGACGACTACGAGAAGTTCGCCGAGGAACTGGGGCGCTACATAAAGTCAGCCGAGGTAGTAACATCAAAGAGAGTGAGGGGAAGGATATCAGAAGACAGTGTTTGATACAGAAACAGAGAAAGAAAATAGATGGGAGAGGTGGTGGAGTACTTTCTTCTCTAAGCTCACTAGAGGAAGCTGAAGGAGGACTTCGAAACCTTCCGATTGCGAAAATTAGAGTAAACCGCAGAAAACCCGCGGAAGCCTCAGACAATGCAGGAGAGAGTTGGTGCTATTTCATTCGACAATCACGACGTTGAAGGGCGGGATCTGATACACCTGAGATGAAATTTTTCTTGAAGAACTTCTACGCTCACCTCTTTGCATTAAAGACATGCGTCTGCCCCCTCCACA